AGATGGAGGCTCTGTAAACCAACGCGACTCCCCCTCCCCTCCCTTCTGGGTGTGAACAGTGTTGAACCAGCTACCCGGGCGGGCACAACTGGGAGAGGGCAACATCCCCTCCCCCTCCCGCCCAGGTCTCCGTTATGCAAACCAGGTTGGCCCCCTCATCCACAATCAAGTCATGGATGAGGGAAGATTTATTATTGACCGACCTGGCATTGAGCAGCAGCACCGTCAGGCCTGAGGGGTGGTTGACAAGGCTACCTGGTGCCCTCTGGTTGGGGGCAGAACCAGAAGGAGGGATAGGTGTCAGCCATCTGTCCATCCTTCTTCTATGTGGACACGGTAAGCCCCTATTGCTGTAACGACCATTGCCCGTGACCACACCAATGGCAGCGCCCGTGTGTTCCCCAGGATATATAAACGTCGACATGGCCAGGGATGACTCAAAAGCACTGATTAAAGCAGGGTAAAATTATAAAGCAGTTCGAAAGAGGAGAAAAAGAAAGATAAAAAGAAGAAAAAGAGAAAAAAAAATCCTTCCCCTTCCCTAAGATTCAGCGGTAGGGAAGCCTATTTCAACAAAAGTCCTTGGCCAGCCCAGCCCCCCCCCTTGTCCCCCGAATGGCCCCCAAACGGCAGCGACCCCTTTGGCCGCTGCCCTTCGGCTGCCGGCCCGAGGCCACTGCCTTGTGGCCGCGGCCGCTGCCTTGTGGCCGCAGGGCGCCTCCGAGTCCTGCCCCGTCGCGCACCACACGCGCCCAATCACCTGGGCCGGCGGGCAATGCGCTCCGGCACCGCGTGCGCCTGCGCTGACCACTGGAGCTGGCTTCTGTCGACATCGTGGCAGCACGCGTCTGCTTGCATCTGCTTGCATGCGGTGGCGGCTCTTTCCTCCAGCGCGATGTAGCGGCGTTTAGGGCTTTATAGGTCATAACCAACACCTTGAATTGGGCCCGGACTTCAATGGGAAGCCAGTGAAGCTGTCGGAGGACTGGAGTCATGTGAACATAACACCCCGTCCCCGTCAGCAACCTGGCAGCTCTATTTTGAACCAACCGAAGTATCCGGACCGTCTTCAAGGGAAGCCCCACGTAAAGCGCATTACAGAAGTCAAGGCGGGAAGTCACCAGCGCGAGTGTCACCGTCGCCAGGCAGTCGTACTCCAGGTAGGGGCGCAGCTGATTAATCAGCCGAAGCTGAAGGAAAGCGCTCCTCGCCACCGCTGTCACCTGAGCTTCCAATGAAAGCTCCGGGTCAAGGAGTACTCCTAAGCTGCGGACCTTGTCCCTAAGAGGGAGTGCAACCCCATTCAGGGCCAGGTCAAATCCACCCTCTCCGAAGCCCGTTTAAAATATTTATATGCCGTCCTGTCGCAAAATCCTCAGGACGGCTTTCAACATAAAATATAACATAAATAAATTCCCGACCCACACTGGCTGCAGTTAAAAACATAGAAAAGACAATATTAAAACTTATTAAAATATTGCTGGAATAAAAGGTCTTAACCTGGTGCCGAAAAAAAAATAACAATGGTGCCAGGCGGACCTCTCTGGGGAGCGCATTCCACAGATGGGGCGCCACTGCAGAAAAAGCCCTCCTCTGGGTACTTTGCCTCCTAATATCTTTCACGGAGGGTTCCTGGAGGAGAGCCTCTGCTGCCGATCTCAAGAGGAGGGAGGGCAAATATGGAAGAAGGCGTTCCTTCAGGAATCCAGGTCCCAAGCCATTAAGGGCTTTATAGGTAATAACCAGCACCTTGAATTGAGCCCGGACTTCAATGGGAAGCCAGTGAAGCTGATAGAGGACTGGGGTTATATGAGAATAACGCCCAGTCCCCGTCAGCAACCTGGCTGCTCTATTTTGCACCATCTGAAGTATCTGGACTGTCTTCAGGGGCAGCCCCACGTAGATTGCATTACAGAAATCCAACTGGGAAGTAACCAATGCATGTGTCACTGTCGCCAGGCAATCATTCTCTAGGTGCAGCTGATGGATCAACCAAAGCTTAAGGAAAGCGCTCCTCGCCACCGCCGTCACTTGAGCTTCCAAAGACAGCTCTGGGTCGAGGAGCACTCCCAAGCTGTGGACCCTGTCCTTTAGAGGGAGTGCAACTCCATCCAGGGCAAGGTCCAAGTCACCTACCCAGGAGCTCGATCCACCCACCAACAGGACTTCTGTCTTGTCTGGATTAAGTTTCAGTTTATTGGCCCTCATCCAGCCCATTACCTCAGCCAGGTACCGGTTCAGTACAGCCACTGCCTCACCTGGATTGGTGGAAAACGAGAGGTAGAGCTGGGTATCATCAGCGTACTTATGATTCCGCAGCCCACACCTCCTGATGACCTCTCCCAGCGGTTTCATGTAGATGTTAAACAGCAAGGGGGACAAAATGGAATCCTGAGGAACTGCATGGCATAGCTGCCATGGTGCAGAGCCAAAGTCCCCCAGCACCACCTTCTGGAATCGGCCGTTAAGGTAGGAGTGGAACCACTGCCAAGCAGTGCCTCCTGCTCCTAATTCTGCCAGGCTATCCAGAAGGATACCATGGTCGATGGTATCGAAAGCTGCTGAGAGGTCCAAGAGGACCAACAGGGACGCGCTCCCCCTGTCTCTCTCCCTGCACAGGTAATCATACAGGGCGACCAAGGCAGATTCAGTACCAAACCCGGGTCTGAAGTCAGACTGAAATGGGTCCAGATAATCAGTTTCATCAAAGAGTGCTTGGAGTTGTCCCACCACCACCCGTTCCAACACCTTGCCCAAAAATGGGATGTTGGCCACCAGTCTATAATTAGTGGCCATCTCTGGATCCAGGGACGCCTTCTTTAGGACAGGCCTGATTACTGCCTCCTTTAAAGGAATAGGCTCCCGGCCATCCCTTAGAGAGGCATTAATGACCTCCAGGATCCAGGCTTTGGTCAGCAGCCACGAAGGGTCAAGCAAGCAGGTGGTGGGACGTACTTATCCAAGCACATTGTCCACATCATTCGGCCGAAATAACTGAAATTCATCCATTAATACCTGACCAGATGGAGTTATTGGCATCTCCCCTAAAGGATCTGAATCACTTGTGGAGTCCAGCTCATGACGAATCTGAGCGATTTTCTCCTTAACCCAGCTGGGCAAAGTGCTGGGTTATCGAGGGTGGTACAGGATCTTTCCTGGGGCCTGGATGTACCAGCCCTTGTACCACCCGAAAGAGCTCCGCTGGATAGCACTGTGAGGAGGCAATGGAAGTGGAGAAGAATTGGAGAAGTGGAGAAGAGCTCGATAATGGGCTCTTGAGTACGGTCAGATTCATCCCGTGATTTCCTCCACCTACACTCTAGACGTCTCCCAACCCACTTCATTGCTCATAATTCAGATGTGTACCATGGGAATGAACGGGCTCTGCCGGGCAGGAGAGGATGCTTAGGAGCGATCAATAGCTCTGGCCATTTCCCCATTCCACAGTTCAACCAGAGCATCAACAGGAGCGCCAGCTTTATCAACTGGAAAATCCTGAGCCTTCAGGAATCCATTCGGATCCATCCGGCTCCGAGGGCGGACCAACACAACAGGGTCCGCACCCTTACAGAGGGAAAGGCCGGCATCGAGCTCAAACCTCACGAGGAAGTGATCTGACCATGACAAGGGAGTCGGACACAATTTCTTCACCCTCAGATCAACCTCTTCCTGCCCCATTGAGAAAACCAGGTCCAGCGTGTGTCCACGTTCATGGGTTGGACCAATGTCATGTTGAGACAGCCCCATGGCCGTCATGGAGGCCATGAAGTCCTGAGCCACCCCGGTCAGAACAGTCTTGGCATGGAGATTGAAGTCCCCCAGGACCAACATCATGTCCGAGACGATCTCCGTCAGCTCAGGCAGGGAGTCTGATGGGCAGAAGGGTGCACGGTACACCAGCAGGATCCCCAATCTGTCTTGGTCGCCCAGCGCCAGGTATAAGCACTCTAGACCTGCTCTCAAGAGGACAGGAAGCCCCACAACTAATGTTTAGTTGTTTGATGGCTTGGTGGCATTTTAGGGGAAACGGTTTTCCTCTGTTTTAAATTGTGTGCATTTTTGTTGAAAGATTCATTCAGTCCATTTTGAGAAAGGTGCCTAATATAATAGTAATATTAACAATGAATTATACTGAAATGCAGGGAAGTGTTGAACTAGGGGATGGTCCTGAACTCTATTCTTGCAGGTCTGAGCTGCAATCTGATGAACTCCAGAATATATAGCAGCTGTGAACTTTGGGCACTCTCAGCAACCCACCCCAACCGTGCAGAGTGAGGGTAGCCCCTGGTGCACTCATGTGTGAGTGGAGGTAGTCCATGTGTGTACGGACACTTGCGATCATCTCCCTGTGGCAATATAGTGGTAGTGCCACAAGAGGCTAGCTAAAGACTGGTCAAGGACTCAGAATGGCAGAACTCACGCTGCTAATCCTCAAGGCTGCTGAACTTGCTTTGAAAGCACATGAGCCACACACAGCTTCTTAGGCAGGGCAATGAGCCATCCTGGCTGGGCTTGCACAATGAGTGATGCACAATGAGTGATCATGCGCACCTCCGCAGTGTGGGAGCAGGACCTGCAGGGGGGGTCATGTACTACTGGGACTTCATGCTTTTGCTAAATACATTCCATTTACAGCTCATGGACTGATAGGTGCCTTTCATGACATTATCTGCTCACTGATGGAATTTCTTTTGTTCCCATCCCAAAACCTG